CAGCCTACAGTTTCTTGCAATACCGCTGTGGCAGGTACCAAACCAGACTAATCATAAAATAACTCGTACTAGAGATAAGGAGTGTAGACATCCTTTCACTATACTTTACATCACCTCATTCACTATATCGGGTGGATATCACCACTCTGAAGGAGGCTTGCTCCGTTGTAGTAGAACTACGCTAACTTTATGGTAACCATCTCCGTTTGGAAGACGCTGCAGTTGTCAGGAAGCCTAAAACTGGAGCTGATGGAAAGTTACCGACAGTGTTCTCACCAAAACTTTCCACAAGCTTTGATCCATGCGTAAAAAGTTTGACGCCCTATCCGTATCGAGTCCTTCTTTCCATGCCTCCCTTGATAGTATGCGCAGAGAAGCAGCAGCCAGGCTAGGCTTCGGCGACTGTAACCATGTTTTGGCACGAAATAGTGTGCGAGGATTCTATTTGTGGAGGTACTTTTATGGAAATTTTGAGGTTATTTTGCAGGATAGTAATAATTTAAATAAGCAGGTCGGAGAAAATGTAAACTTAAAATGTAGAAAATAAACTTTTTAAAAACTCTTAATATATAGTATGGTTTGTTGATTTTAATAAGATTCCAAAAATGGAATTTTGCTTAGGATAAGGATATATTAAGAAGATAACTTGTTAACCTAGTAGGGTGAATTATCTGAAAGCATAAATTTGTATGCGAAGAAATATATAAATTAGCGCTCTTAAAGAGCATTATCATTTTTACGAAACTGCCGTGTAACCCTATATTCAAATTTGTTCCCAGGCGTATCACAACCTCCCTTTGCTCCACTTTTCGGGCATTATGCAAAGATGCATTTAACACTATGCTATACACTACATACATATTTATATATTTATATACGTGTATATATTTATATTTGAACACGGTGCATGAGTGTTTCGGCACGCACTTCATACATATTTCATATCATTCTAATTTGCGCTGCCAACACTAATTGCGTAGATATTTTTAAAACAAATTCGAAATTTCCGGAAACACCTTTAAAATAGTTGTAAAGGAAAGGTGGCATAGCAGCAAACAACACAAACAATTGCCTTAAAATAAAACAAAGAAAATAAAAATGGGAGGATGGCAAAAATGCCAAGCGCGCGAACAGCAGACGGCCAGTCGTTAAATCAAATGCCGAGCGCCCAGGCAGGCATTGCGGCAGGCTGAGTCGCTGTCGCGCGAAAAAAGGTGTTTGGAAGCGTTTTAAGTGTTCCAGTGGAGGTGGCGTGTACCTCTGCGTGTATATATGAAGAAAATATGTACGATATGAGCTGTAGTTTGTAGCATTTATGGTTTATGAGATTTTCGCCTGCAACACTCCCACTAGCCCAAGCCTTTATGCAACAAGCCAATATAAACTGTTCGGAAAAATTGCTATTTAAAAATAGATACGAAATAGAAATACAAATAGCGCGGAGCACAGTGAGTTTTGGGTGAGCAAATGTGACTTTTAAGGTATTTAATTTTTCTAATAAAAGTAAAACTTGTAAATAAATATCTTTGTGGTTATGTTAAGTTAGGTAGTCTTAAAAGCCAGGTTGGATTAAATTTTTAGAAACTCAGTCGCAAAATTATTTTCTATGCCTGGAGGATATATGTAAATATGTTCTAATCAGTACACATTTCAAGAAAAAAAATTTAACGTTAGATTGGTCAGGTAGGGCAGTCTTGTTAGAGCGTAATGGGCCCATTTTACCACCACTTACTACGCCAACATAATCTCAAATTTTTTTCTTTTTTTTATATAATTTTTTTCTTTATAACATAAATAAAAAAGAAAGAATTTTGGTCAAATATTTATCAAAACGCTTTTTATGCTATTTTTGAGGTTAGGTTTCCGTGTGAAGTAGCTTTAAAATAAATCGTAAACAACTATTTTTATATCCTGAATTTTCGAAATGTACCTCCTAAAGGCTTACTTGCCTAAATTCTTTTCCCCCAATAATCTGCTCATTTGCTGATACCACCGATATCAGACCACTATATCATGTAGCTGTCATACAAATTGACCGATCAAAATCAAGTCCTTGTATTGAAAACTTTTTTATTTTACAAGATATCTTCACGAAATTTCACAAATATTATTGCCCAAGACAACGCTGCAATCTTCGAACATATTGTTCAGATCGAACCACTGTAGCAGATAGTTGTTTCTTCATGCTTGATGTCCATAAAGACTTATAAGTTTTTTAAAAATTAGGAAAGGCGATACCACTGTTCAAACTGCAGGTTAAATGGACCAGGTATCATACTTGTCGTGTTAACAAATATGAAATTGTTGAGGTTATGCACAAACAAAAATGTTTTAGTTGTATTACAAATTTGTTGTTGTGAGTAGTATTTCTTTAAATAATAGCGCCTAAAATAGTTGTAATGCGCAAACGCGTTGCCATTTACATTCAATATGCGCACGCAGCAATCATACAAACATCAAAGACGACAACAACAACAACGACTGTGATAGGTGGGAGCATGTAAGTATGTATGTATTTATGTAAGTGTATGAGAGTAACGACGAAACATATGTGCCGCCAAACGCCTCCTTTTCCATGTAACTGCTCATAATAATTTCTTTTAGCAGCATTTTTTGTGGATATTGTTGTTCAATTTTCCACAGACAAAAGTCGTTCATTGTATGCAACAACGACGTGGTTAGCAACATTTTCTGGCTTTCGCTTAGTCGCAAGCGACGTGGAAGAGTGAAAAGTAAATAACAATAACAACAACAATAATATTGGCAACTTCAAAGAGTGAGTGGTTGTTGTTGTTGGCAATAAGCGCATCCATTTCATGCGGCACATAGCGCACTGTAATAACAACAATAACAACAAAAGAAAACCTTATATCAATAGCAACAACAATAATACGAAGTTAATGTTGGCAACACAGCATCATTCCCTCACAATTATCTGTTTACAAAAAATATTTGCGCATACCGGCACACACACATTTACAATGGCGGCAACCAGTGGTGTGCGCCTGCGCAACCTTACAGCATCTTTAAAGACGCTTGAATACGGTGTATTTACTGTACATAAAATAAAAACCGCAATAAAGCCAAAAAAAAAATTGTTTAAAGTAAACTCACTTGAGCGGGTGGCGATCTCGAGCGAAGAGCAGTCGGCCGCTATGCTGAAACTGTAATTTATATCATTCAGCCACAGCCAACCGCGTCTATGTCTATTGCCACTCAGTTGGTTAGTCAGTTAGTTAGGCGCATTGCAACAACGCCGCACTATAAAACTTCAAATTTCATTGTATTCACACACAGCGGAGTTTGTCGAGCATGCGCAAGCTCGCAGGCTCCAATCGAATTCGAATTCGAATTAGACTTTTTTATGCCAGTTGCTGGCGGTGCAATATAGTGTTTTGTAGCGAACGCCAGAGACACGCCTCTATCGCTGCGCTGCAATCTAGTTCGCCGGTGACGAGCGAGTTTTTATTTGGTGTCTGTCTGCCTAAGTCTATAGCGCACGGTTTTCCGCGTTTGCCTACTTGCCTTTGCAGCCATAGCCATGCACAGAGCCGCTCACAAGCCACGCGATTATTTCGCTTTATTGGTCTACAGCTGATAGCCGGTGGACGTGTGCAGAAGATTCGCCAACATCAATTGCAAAATGCTGACTGATTCTTTTTTTTTTTTTTAATATTTGTTTGGTGAAATTACTTAGAAAATAGATGTGTGTGAGTGATAGGCCTACTAGTGCCGTATGGATTAGAGAGGAATGCCCTGCAGAGAAAACTTAAATAAGTATGCTCCACTTGTCTGAAGTTTTTGTAATGGTAAGGTACACAAATATGCTAGATGAGTAATCTCAGTGCTGTGAGATCTACTAGATATTAAATAAACCTGTTATACTGACCATTTGTTTTATTATTCAAACTGTATAAAATTTGTAGCTTTCCGCAATCTTCTAAAATTAGTATAAGGGAAAGGTATGATCACTACTTACGCTCACCGCTCCGATGACACCACTATCACAAAAAACATAGTACGTATATCGTGTAGTATATTCTCATACACAGTTACTGTTTCAGCCCAAACGGACCGTCTTAAAGCGTGTTCGAATGCTGATATAAGGTGACTATTCTTTTTCGTTAAAAATTACTTTGAACGTCTGGGTTCTAACATTGACAGACCTCAGATTGAGGGGCGGGAGACAGTAGGCGTGGGTCAGGTCCTGTGAGAAATCTCGGGCATATGACAGCCGTTTCGTGACCTTCGACGAGAATTGATTCAGTAGTACATTCCAAAAATCACGGAAAAGTCCAAACAGTTGAGTTTATCCGGCGAACCTGCTCCGAAGAAAGCGAAGACTGGATAATATACACAATTTCTTGGAATACACATGGTGCGATCTACATCTACTACTAGGAGCAGTGCAAAACGTTCACAGGGCTCTACTATGACGTATTATTGGCGCGTTTTGGCGTGAAATTGCAGTAAAACCGTCTATACTTGGCTAAGTGCTTTTCCACCATAACAACACACTGATTAATAGTAGATACCGGGTCGACTGATTAATAGTAGATACTGTTCTATAAAGTGAAAGATTTTATCTAGATCATTTAAGTATTAAATTTCGAATACACCTACATAAAGAGAGTGCTGAATAATTTGAATATATTTTCAATAAATAAGTAATACTGCAATATAGAGTGAATTTTCAGCACGAAAAAGAAGAAAGTTTATAAAATTTCGGACATCAAGCGAGCTTTTACCGCCTGGCGTGAGGAATCACAAAACAGCTAAGAGATTTGACAATCTGACTAATTGTCCCTAATATGCCATTCCAGTATATACAAGTATTTACAAATATTTTGAAAAATATTTGCTTCTAAGATCATACATATTATATATACTGTTTTAGAACCCTATTCTTCCGTTAGTTATATCAATTCCCCAAATGTATATTTATATATACACTTATTTATGGCCAAAAAATTCCGAATATTTAAATCTTTATCACTCACCTTCCACATCAATTCCGTTTATCGACAGCGGATGTTTCACAACAACACATCCTTCAATTTTTACTCTGCCAAATCTGTTTCAGATATGTCACTGTGTGTTTGCTTGTTGTTGCTTATAGCTGCAAAAAGGATTAAGAAAAGTATGTATGTGGTTAAAACTAAATTTAATTATAAATTCAATGCACATGTGTTTACACATATACATACAAGATGAAATTTCAAATTTGCTTACAGGAAGCAGGATAATAGTTTGCACGGATTTGAAAACAAAATAAAAATCAATAGTCAATCAGCTTAACAAGAAGTTATTCAATGAATATTTCAACTAATTTCCGGTGGCATATGTACATAAATATGTGGGTGTGTTGTGGCCACCGTGGTGAAAAACAGGAAATTAAATTTGATTAAATACAGATGATAACTAAGATGAATAATTTGTAAAAGTAAAGTTAATATTTAGGAGCACAAAGAGGGAAAGAGAACGTGAGAGCTAATGAAGTAGCGTTTTCACAATATAACTTTGATAATTTGTTGGAACTTCCGATATCGGACCACTATAGTATATGGCTGCCATACAAACTGTTATCATCAAAGGATCAAAATCTAGATAAAGATCACTTGTGAAGGGTATTATCGCTACGGTGTAGCCGAAATTAACGATTTCTTGTTTTAATATTTAATTGCAATTAAAAATAAAAATCTAGGAAAAACTAGAAAAATTTAATTATCTCACTCTTTAATTATCAATAATTTAATTATCTCACTATTTCTAATCTCATTTTTTTCATTCCACGTGTATGCAAATCAATTTTTAGTCGCTTTACTGTTAATTACTAATCAAACGGCGCCCATTGTTTGTGCTTAATAAATGTTATTATCATTTATCTACACACACATACAAACAAATTACAGTAAAAATATGCACTTGTTAGTTGCCGCACGTATACAAAGCCAATTATTTAAGCAACAATGCAGTTAGTTTTGTTAATAACGTTAGCTTTATTAGCAATTTGTGGCAGTATACGCTTCTATATACTCGTACATATACAAATATAATATATCTAAGCTCGTATCTCTAAGAGTTTGTGTGACACTTGTTTGAGCTGCTTCATGTCACCGCTCACTCTATTTACTAGAAAACAATTAGCGGAGCGCTGTCATTGAGAGCTCATTGCGCAAACGCCTGTGATTGGTCGAGCTTTTCGCAGTAGACATACATATTTATGTATGTATGCAATGGATATGTATCCAATCAGATCATTGTAAATATGATAAAGTACTGAGTTAACACAATAGTGTGGTTGTAGAAGCAAAATAAATAAGAACACTGTAGACTATGAACCCAGTGGATTTCCAAAAGAAGTTGTTACTGTTGAAAGAATTTTAAACAAGTATGGAAGGGTTGGGTCTAACCGAACATTTTATATTCTCACAATTCGCAAGAATCAAAGTCTGGGAAATACCTTCAGGTATTGACAAATATATTATTTCTGAATTTCTTTAAGATTATTTACATATTGACCGATAGAAAGGAAATAAAGTCAATCGGAAGTTTAAAAATATTTATATTAGGTATATGGTGGCTAAGGGAAGTATTGGCCAGATTTTAATCATTTTTGGTACAGTGAATGCAGTCATCACAAAAATATTCTCCCCTAATTTTAATACGAGATCTCACAGATTGGTCGAAATGTTCGATAAGAAATCCGCAACATGTACTGAGGTCCACATATTTTATGTCTGGGTCCTTGAAAAGTTATAAGCTGATTTCGACAACTCTTGGACGTGAGGTGAAATACATTGAGGGCACTATTTGTTAATGTTTGATTTGTATAATGTAAAGTGAAAGAATCAGATATATGGAAAGTGGGCTGTCTTCTGATTTCGTCCATTTTCACAGTGCATCATAGGAGTATTTGGGTTACCTCACACACCAAATTTGGTTGAAATTGATCAATTAGTTCCTAAGAATTGGATTTCACCTTATACACCTCTTGTTAAATTTTTACAACCGAACGAATAAAGTCATCTTGGTTGTGAAATTTAATGCTTGTGGTGCATTTATTCAGTGAGTTATCGCACTTATAGTAGTTTTCAACAAAACCGTTATATGGAGAGTGGGCGTGGTCGCTATCTGATTTGAGTCCTTTTTATAGTGTTTGAAGAAATACTAAAGATACTTCTTGTCAGCATGTTTGGTTGATTTAGTTTTAGCGGTTTGGAAGATATGTACATTAAACCATTTAGGTGGCCCACTTTAAAAAATTTTTTAGCCTACAATATATACAAGGTGCGTTCCAAAGGACTTAAAAAAAAAGACAGAACAAATGGTTTTATTGTCAAAATCAATTAATTTTATTCAAAATAGTCTCCTTCTGCTTTAATACAGCTTTTTGCACGGTCCAAAAGCATGTCGAACGAGTGTTTTAGCTCGTTGCCCGGTATGGCCGCCAGTATGCCGGTGCAAGCCTGTTGAATGGACTCCACGTCTGCATAACGCTTTGGAACGCACTTTGTATAACTCTATATCTATCTAGTTTAGTTTTAGGTGATACAAACAACCCTTAGGTAAACAAAACTATTATACTCTGTAGCAATATGTTGCGTGAGTTTAAAAATGAAGCTGATAGAGCTAGCTGATACTCAAACGATATCAAAAGAATGTATTGGACATACCGTTTATAAAAATTTGAATAAGCTCACAATCGATTCATTCAACGTGTTAAAAATCGATGAAAACAGTGGCGAGATTGTTTCGAATTGCTTACGTATCCACCAAATGCTCCAGATCTCGCCAAAAAGCTGTTCTCAGATTTCAAAATGAATTTTGGTCAAGAAATTTAGCGAAATTGACGAGATAATCTTTAAAAACGATATCAAAATCGAATTCTGTCAAAACCGATTTTTTCTCTTTCAACTTTTTAGACACTGCATAATCTGATACAACAGTAAAAAAATTTATTTCAGATAGACCACGCCTTTACTTGATTTAATAACTAACTTATAACCTCTTTTATGCCATTATTTCTGTCTTAACAATGTATGAAAAGCAATCACGAATTTGCCTTTTACGAAGTTAATCGAGTAAAACCAAAAATTAGTTCAAGCAAAGCGCACATTAACACCTTAAGATAACACATACATACTTCAGCATATACCTGTAGGTTCCCACACTAAGTTCGCATATTCTGCAAATACAGTCACGTGTAAAATATTAGAATTGAAACACCTGAGTGATTGCTTCAATATGCTATTCGTTTCCTTGCTGAAATGGTGTTATAAGGGTCCCTTAGGAAAGAAGAAAAAAACAGGGGGTTAGACTGAAAATAACAAGAAAAACGTTTACTTCAGTTGCTTCGATACCCTTCACAGCTGCATTTATTGTAACATAAAAGGGTATAAAAATATGTTAATCTTGATTTTGATGGGTCAGTTGGTATGTCAGCTATATGCTGTTGTGGTGCGATCTGAACAATATGCTCGGAAATAGTCTATGCCAAATTTCGTGAAGATAGCTTGTCGAATAAAAAAGTTTTCTATACAAGAACTTTATTTTGATAGATCAGTTTGTATGGTAGCTATATCATATAGTGGTTCGATATCGGAGTTTTAACTTACCAAAATCAAACCCAAATATTGGTGCTTTTCTGGTAATGAGAGTTTGTTAAATCTCGAGAACCAAAACTGGTCCGCTATAAATATCGAGTATGGGTACACTTACATGTTCGGTATAACCGAAACTTATAGAAATCAATTTTTTAACTAGGCTGCCATTCCACATAACCGTAATATTGATTTCATTAAATTTGGAACCAATGTACATCTTTTAAGGGGTCTTACAGTCATTTGTAAAAATAAAGAAAACGCAGTACAATAGGATATGTCCATTTCGGATTCATGTCCATTTTCGTATGAATTTAGTAAAATATCCCCAGCTTACCTAGTTTTTACTACAACACTGTACATGTACCAAAATATAATATAAGCCCAACATACACGAGCAACCACTTCTTGACGGCTAACAATCAACACGAGTGCCTTCACGAGTTCTTTTCGCCTCTTTTTGGCGAACAATAATGGTTAGAATGAATGAAAGCGAACAGCATTAATATAGCAAAAAAAAAATATATAATATATATAACATTCATAGAACCATAATAATTTTTTATGATGCGGTTTCAAGCGAAAAAATCGGTAACAAGCTGAAAATGAGTTACTTAGGAAGCTGTGATGTCTTCTTATTGAGCTAGCGAAGGTGAGCTGACGCGAGAAGAAGCTGCGCAAAGCGACGAGCTCTTACGGCCCCAACGTAATTGTTGTAATTACTTGTGCTATTCGCTTTTTTGTTGTGTTAATTTTTGGTTTTACTGCCGAATTAGAAGTGATGCTCGCTTTAATGGATTTTTTAGTTCTAATTTAGTTTGGCGGAGAAATAAGACTTTGTTAACGTCTTTACAAAGCTTTTTTGCTTTTATTTTCATATTTTTTTTTTTACTTTTTTTGATTTTTGTTGCAAGTTAATTTTCTATGGCGAAACTTGTCACTGTCGCTTTGAGTCTTTATTACTGTTGTTTAGTAACTATTTATGTTATTGTTGTACGTTTAGTAACTGAATATGTAAGTATTATGGTCTATTGCTACATTCCATCTTGGCTCGTTGACTCATGGAGCATCAAATACTCGGGTGCTACAAATACGTCGGGGTTAAGCAGTGCTACAATTTGTCTTCTTTCTGCCTTATGAAGGTGCCACACACAGCAGTCCGCTATTTAGAAATATAAATTTGTTTGTGCTAACTACATTTTTATGGACCCCCACATAACTGTATTTCATGTAACAGCATCTCTAAGTGCTTGCACCCAGATAAGTTAATAAATTGTATGTCTGTATATTTATTTGGTGCTTTATTGCGTCGTATGCCAAATGTCAGATAAAAATCACCTAAAAACTACTGCTACCTTATTTATTTGACACTCAAAAATTTCATGTAGGGTGCGAGCAATTGTAATAGTCTAATTTATTATGAAGCATACCTGGTTGTCAGTAGTTGAGTTTTTAACTATAAAAATGTTCATGTGTCTGTGTGCGTTTGAGGTTTGGTAATTGGCAAATACACCCC